CAACCCGAACTCGCTCACCACCCCGCACCTCACCGTGCAGGCGCCCACACCCGTCGTCGCGCAAACCACCGCCGATGAAGACCAGCTAATCGCGGACCGCACGCCCGCACAGCAAGCGCTCGACACGGACATCGAGATGACGGACGGCGGGCCGTCGGTGCCGATCTCACCTAACGACGTGGCGCGCGAAGGCGACGCGGTGCAGACGGAGAGCGTGATCACGCAAGCGCACCAATCGCACCACGACGGCACGAAGGTGGACTTGCCGCCGCCGCCGCCGTTGGAGCAGCGGCAGAAGATGCAGCATGCGGCGGGGGGAGTCGATGGGGAGGGGAGGGAGGAGGGGCAGAAGTATTTGTTGGGGCCGGTGAGGCCGGAGTTGAAGGGGAGGAAGTGCCTGGTGTTGGATTTGGATGAGACATTGGTGCATAGTAGTTTTAAGGTGAGTTTTGAGCGTAGAAACGGAGGGCGAACGATTGAAGTGGACGCTATGATGGAGATGAGGATTTATGACGGACGTTATGATCTGGAAACTTACCGTTATCGCAGATGCTTCACCAAGCCGATTTCACGATCCCCGTTGAGATCGAAGGCCAATATCACAACGTATACGTGATCAAGCGGCCCGGCGTTGATCAGTTCATGAAGCGTGTGGGCGAATTATATGAGGTGGTAGTGTTTACGGCATCGGTTTCCAAGGTTCGTTTACTATCAACGATAACACGCAGAAGAAACGGTGAATCTAACTGCTCACAGTACGGCGACCCACTCTTGGACCAACTCGACATCCACAACGTCGTCCACCACCGTCTATTCCGCGAAAGCTGCTACAACCACCAGGGCAACTACGTCAAGGTACGTTTCCCGCCTCTCCTCCCAGCATCTTCCACCATCCCCTTCCCATCATCACCTCTCCGCTCTTACTAACCCCATCCAGGACCTCTCTCAAGTCGGCCGCGACCTCAAAGAAACCATCATCATCGACAACTCGCCCACCTCGTACATATTCCACCCGAAACATGCCGTTCCGATCAGCAGTTGGTTCTCCGACGCACACGACAACGAGCTTCTGGACCTGATCCCCGTGCTGGAGGACTTGGCGGGGCCGCGGGTCGCGGATGTGAGCTTGGTGCTGGACGTGTCGCTGTGACAGACGCACGCGCTCACATAACCACGATCCGAGACGGTCGAGTTCTATATCTTCCCAAGTTTCTGGCGGATGCGCAACGAGCGAGCGAGCGCGCGCTTCATCAACATGGCATGGCGAGGCGTTAGGCGTACAGTCCCTTATCTTATATCTATCTATCCACCCATTCCCCGTTTCACCAATTCATTCCCGCGAGCCATTCGAGATGGCGCGCCACGAACCCAATCCACCACCACATCCGACTGGCGTTCCCGCTCTTCTATTACTATCTTAATACCCCTCCCAGTCACCGTCACCGAACACACCAAACCCGCACCCGAACCACGTTAAACCCCATCATTTCCTTTGTTATTAGTCTATCTCCCGTCCAACCAGCACACACAGGCTCTTCCACCCCCTGAATACATCCATCGCATCTAGGATTGCTTCTTTTCTTTCCTGCATTGTGAGGTAGGGCAACGGAATCATCACGGCGTCGAATCGCGATTATTTTTGTTTTTCGCGAAGTCTGCACGTCTTGTACCATCGTGCTGAATGGATCGGCTGGATGAAATGGAAGAACACACCACATCCCACCACACGACACCTCATCCAATGTTTCGGGTTTTCCTTGAGTATATATACAAATCCCTCGCGATCTGGCTTGTGTGCATGCATCTTTTCCTTCCGCGTCCCACGGAGACATTGCAATCACGCTGGCAGAGCCGGTTCCTGTGCAGCGAGCGTGCATCTTCCATGCGATTGAGCGAACGTTGAGCGAGAGCGATGCCTTAGCCGTACCCTTCCCGTCCCTTCCCTTCCCTCCCCTCCCCCGTTTCTCCGAATTCTTGTGCTGCGACAAAAGTACCGGCAGCATTTGACCAGCAAGCGAGCGATCGAGCGAACGAGAGACGTGGACAGGTGTTCGTGCATCGACCTTCGACCGCAGCCAGCGACCTTTTCAAGATTTCTTCTCCACTCGATTTGAGCCGCGATTCGCTTCTGTGTAAACCTTTTACGGTCCCCGACATCCCCATCCGTTCGCCGCACTTGCCGGGTTCCATTATCATTCCCGTCAACAGAGCCTCGATGTTGGCTACCTTTGCGATTTAGGGGAGGCGAGATATCTGGATATGGAGCGTTAGAGGAGCTGGAAAAGAGGGTGGTCAGAGGGTGGTTATTGATGGATCGTGCATATGCATCGGAAGGAGATAGACGAGTGTTTCGAGGGGGAGTGAGGAGACTACTGTATGGGGTCGTTATTGCTGGGGTTTTTCGTTCTTGTCAAAAAGATAGGCGATAGTAATTGTATTGGTTTTTTGTGTGATGTTGATTCTGAAGTGCTGTGACCGTGATCGAGTAGATGGACTTGTATCTAAGGCTCGCTCCATCAGTGTTTAGGGGCTTCTGGGTTCTTGATACAGCAGCACTAAGATTTTTGTCATCACCGTTCTCATGACATATTCCGTGAATGTTAATACAAACACGTGTAAGACGCGGTTTGGTAAGCAATATGGCGGCCGCTCGCTCTATCAGGCCCAGTGCAGGTGAACGAGGGGCAGAGATGACCAGTGGGCTGTGAGACACCCAGAACCAGCGTTGAAGCTTTCTGATAGTGCCACCATCATCCCCGTCTCGCATGCATGCCCTCTTTTGTCAAGAAATTCATCGACATCACTTAGCCCTAGTCTTGTGATCTGTAAGCTACAATTTTAAGCTTTCTGCCGCCTTGAAACCGTCACGAGTCGAAGATATCCTGTCCCGGACCTCCGCTTCGAGCTCCATTTCGGTCGTACACACTGCTGCCTCAGCTGTGACGCTCAGCTCCAGATGGCTCGCGATCCATCCCCGGCAGATGATGCAGGCAAGGCGCCTACAAATGGGCAGGCGGAGGAGAAGTTGCCGCAAACGCCAAAGAAGATAGAGGTGGAGAGCACCGAAGCGATCGCAACGAAGCCCTCGCCTTCTCTAAGAAGCAGCAGTGGCTGGGACGGAAAGCTACGACATCCTAGCAAGATGGAGCAAGAGGAGGAAGAAAATGGCGAAGCTACGGATGAGGAGGACGATGAAGAGGAAGAGGAGGAGCCGCTGCGACAAACTCGCAGAGGGGAAACCCAGGTCGTCGAAGGGGAGGGCATCGATCCGGACGAAGACCTGCTTGATGGTTACGAGCCGGACACCACGGAAATCGACCTCGTCCACTGCAGGATCACATCGATTCCCGCATTACGGTTGGAGCGGTTCCCCAAGACCGAGAGACTATGTCTCCGACAGAACCAGATCTCGACCATCGAGTTCCCGCCCGAGCTCGCCACCTCCGTCCAAGAGCTCGACCTGTACGACAACTTAATCTCGCACATCAAAGGCCTCGACGACTTCACCGCCCTCACCTCCCTCGACCTCTCCTTCAACAAAATCAAGCACATCAAGCGCCTCTCCCACCTCTCCCGCCTCACCGACCTCTATTTCGTCCAAAACAGGATCTCCACCATCGAAAACCTCCACCACCCCCACCTCAAAAACCTCGAACTCGGCGCCAACCGCATCCGCACCATCGAAAACCTCGATAACCTTCCTTCCCTCGAACAACTCTGGCTCGGTAAAAACAAAATCGATCGCCTCCAAAACCTCGACCGCCTCCCCTCCCTCTCCCTCCTCTCCATCCAATCCAACCGCCTCACCTCCCTCTCCGGCCTCTCCCTCCCTTCCCTCACCGAGCTTTATATCTCTCACAATGCCATCACCGATCTCGCCCCTCTGGCCTCTCTTCCCAACCTCCGCGTGCTAGACATCTCGAACAATCCCGTCGCGTCGCTGGCAGGCGTGGCGCCGTTGACGAAGCTCGAGGAGCTGTGGGCGAGTTACTGTGCTCTGGAGGACTTCGAGGAGGTGGCAAGGGAGTGTAAGGAGATGAAGGAGTTGGAGACGGTGTATTTCGAGGGGAACCCGTTGCAGAAGCGGCAGCCGGTGTTGTATCGGGGGAAAGTCCGTTTGGCGATTCCGTGGGTGAAACAGATTGATGCGAGTAAGTGCTAAGTTTCCCCTATTTTGTTCGCATCTGCAGCTTTTGTTTAGTGCGCCTGCGAGCTGTGAACAGGACTAACGATGAACTTTGCAGCGTTTGTTAAAGTTTAACATCTGATGCATTGCATGTAGATGGGCATGCTCTCGCGAGCAGCAGTGGTGGACATGACATGGAGGATTTCGGTTACATACTTCAGGATGTATCAGGTTTCATGGCAGTGGCGTTTGGGGACATTTCTCACTTCAGTCCTCTTGTTCGATGATGACAGACACGAGACTCGCTCAAGCACGAGGCAAATTGGCGTGCACCAGGGTTGAAACAGGCATGACATTGTACGCTCACGATCCGATACGATCGCTCACTCTCGGCCACGAAACATAAATGAAAACATGGGTTTTCTGATCCGCGTATCCAGCGCTCCTACAGACTCCATGCAACACCAAACGGAACACCCCAGCTGGCTAATCGTCACTCCCAAAATCCTCCCCTCCCCTCCGTCCTTCTCCCAACCCCGTGAAATCATCTCCGCTCCCCCCTCTACCCCCTCGCCTCCTCCAACTCCATCTCCAACCGCCTCACCTTCTCCGCCAACTCTTGCTCCCGCTCACTTCCCCCTGCGCCCCCCTGCCCTATCTTCAGCTCCAAGCCCTCCACCTTCCCGTTCAGCGCCGTGATCTGCTTTGACTGCGCCTCGATCAGCGACTTGATGTCCGCCAGGTGCGTCCGCAGCACCTCGCCCGGTCCGCCCGCTCCTGTTGGAGCCGCAGTACTGGACGGCGCCGCGGTCGGCGTCGGCGTCGGCGCTGGCTTCTCGACGACAGTCGGCTGCGCGGGCTGTGCGGGCGCCGCTTGGGGAGTCGGCTTCGCGGGCTCCGTGCGCGCCGCCACCGCCGCCGATCGGTCGATGGGTTTCTGCACCTCCTCGAACTCCTCCTCGCTCTCCTCTTCGTCGCTCTCGTTGTCGTTGTCGGCGAACTTGGATGCCATGCTCGCGATGGACGCCTGGTTATCCTTCATGGATGGCGGCGGGCCGGCAGCGGCGACGGGCTTGGGCTTCTCCTCCTCGACGGGCTTCGGCGGCTCGACCTTGGCGGGTGGCGGGGTGGCCGGCTTTGCGGCGGCGGGCTTGTAGTCGGCGGGGATCTCCTTGGGCGCCTCGCCCTCGTAGACACTCTCCAGGGAGATCATGGGCGGGAGGCCTTCGTTACCGGCGAACCAGTCGGCGGCGGACATGGCGGGTTTGAGGCCGACGCATGGGGGGTAGATGTCGTCCTGGAAGACTTCGGCGCGGCGGGGCACGATGAAGGAGACGGGCTCGATGTGGGAGTCGTTGACGGTCTTGTAGGCGCGCATGACTTCGTTTTCGTGGACCTGTGGGTGGTGAGCTGGGAAGGGGGAAGAGGATGAGGGGAGACTCACGTTCACGCCGCGCTTGGGGACGAAGGCGATGCCACGTTGTGGATCGCTGGATTTGTATTCGGATAGATATTCGAACTTGTCGTTTTCGTACTCATAGTAGCGGATGTTGCCATCGCTGCAGTTGATTAGCACGTGGATAAAATCATTCCACAACCGAAACTTACCCCTTCCCGGCCAAGTATAGGCAGTTCGTCCCGTCGTCCCAGAACGGCATGCAGATACTAGAGATGGAGTCCAGGATCTGAAACCCACCGATGGGCTCCGTCGGCGCTCGCGCATCCCACAATCCAAGCTGCCGATCACTCATCCGCGAGAATCCCGTCGTCGCTATCCGGTCCAGCTCGCCCATCCAAACCGCCCTGCTGTTCTTCGCGCCGCTATGGCCCGCCACCTCATGCGCCGGCTTCTCCTGTCGAACGTCCCAGATCCGCAGCTTCTTGTCGCGACTGGTCGTCACCAGCAGGGAGCCGCTAGGATTCCACGACATGGATTGGACAATGTCGCCATGTTTGAGTTGTAGTTTCGAGGTTCCAGCTTCGATGTCCCAGAGCTTCACGGAGAAGTCGCCGGAAGAGCTGGCGAGCACGTTGGCGGCGGAGGGGTTGAATAGGACGTGGCCGACTTTGCGCGCGTGGCCGCTCAGTCGCGCAACGGGGCTGACGTCTGCCGGCTCTTCTGCATCGGTTAACAGGGTGAAGTCCTCTGGGACTTGCCAGATGAACACCTATTCCGGGTAAGTTGTTGTTATTCGCAGAGGCTCTGTCGTCATACCTTCCCATCATCGGCACCAGATGCGATCAAGGAGTCATTGAACGGGTTCCTATAGACCTTATCAGCATTCGATCCTCCTTGCCCACATCCGCCGCATTCCATACCAGTCCGTGTCTAGCACCGCTGCCGTATGGCCTCGAAAGAGCGGTAGCTGCTCTGGTAGCCGTCCCCGCTCGTTCACCGGGATGACCGCAAAAGCTCCGCCTCCACTCGCTTCCCAGTTGACAGCGAGGTATTCCGGGTTCGCCTGACTCCATTAGCGATCTCCCACGAAGTCCAGGAAGGCGTCGCACCTTGATGATGTTGGAGTCCCATGCGTTCCTCGAGATACGGAGGTTGTCATAGCATTGTTCCTGTCTCTTGTTACTTTCCATCTCTAGTGGACTCTTCAGCCAAGCAACGTACCTTCTTAGTAGAGCGTCCAAAGACGTGTCCTGTAACAGGAGCGCTGATTAGCAGTGATCTGACGGCGTAAGCGGTGGTGGTTGGACCTACGATACTTCGACGCTCGAACGAATCGGGGGGCCATTAGTCTCAGATGTTTTCGCCGAAGCAGCTCAGGACAAGATTGGTATTGCTTTCTCCAAGAATGAGTAGGTGATCAGGGTGTTTGTAGCAATAACAATAAGCTCGTGGTGAGAGCTTCCCCTTGAATCTTTAGCGGTCGCATCTGATACAGTGGTGGATTCGTCGGTGGGAATGGGACCCTGTTATTGCCTAGTCGCCTTGTGACCTTGTCGCCTTGTCCCCATTTTCCCTCACCCCCCTTCCCCTTTACAGTGACGAACCACACACAGCTTACTCCTACATCATACAGCCTATTACCCGTTCACACAACGATAAAGGTTATTCAAGGAACTTATAATGATGAGTTCGGGATTAACCAAACATGCATAACGGTTATACTATATCACCCTAATAGATATGTATGTCAGTTCTACCTTTCCCTAGATCTTAGCGGAGGAAGACCTTCACCAAATACCAACAGGACGCCTAGATGCTTCGTTCGGTCTCCCCAATATCTCAAGCGGGAAGGCTGATATCGCCGTAGATCATTCGGAAATCAAGCATTCGGTAGTCTGAGCCGGTTCGTAGTTCGGCAGAAATCAGACTGCGCCATCAGCAGAAGCCTATGACCAAGAAAGGCCCAAAGTTCCTTTTAACGGGTATATCAATTTGTTCGTCCGACCATATCATGCTAATGGTGTTCGCATCACCATCCAAGAATTATTACGGGCTTCCAACCACTCATATATGGTTTCTATTTGTCTTGAATTGAACATCGCCGGGAGATATCCTTGGTTCCGATCTGGAACAGCCTACGAGAGAATACCACGTCTTGTAGTGCCCATCCACGGCGGTGTAGAGGTTACTCCACATCTTGAGTACTGGATTCGTGTGGTCCAACATAGAATAATCTTTGATCATTACCCTGCAAGAACAATATGGCCCGGACCACTGACCTGACTGACGGGACTCAGGCGGCCTTTGTGGCCTTGTTGCATGTGAGCGAGTTCAGATCTTCCAATTTACGACCATCAAGATACGAAAAGATTTGAATTCCATATAGAAGTCATGCAATGAGAACCCGTCGTGCCCGTCGAATGCCTGCTACAATAGCTTTCCGCTCCAAGGACCCCCGTCCCCTGTTTCTGGACTTGGATAAGTTCCTGCTCACGAGCCTCGGCCCAGGCCGCACAGAGAATATCATGGACTATCTTGGGGGAGACGGGCACGTCTAGGGGTCAGGCGGGTCGGACCGGCGAGAATCCTCCCGATTATATAGCCAATGATGTCAAGGGAACAGGATAAGGAAAGGCGACTTTGTGCTCGCGATGGCTGAGGGACTTCTAAACGTTTTCAACGATAATAATTTTGGATGGCGATTATTCGGACATATGAGGATGGCGATATAAAGCCAACGGCTCGACAGTAGTATACGATAAGGATATGAATTCAACATGGTGCACCACCGGCTGTGATGAGCTTGGCAACCATCCGGCATATAAAATGCGTGTATCAACTTCATCTCTCATCAACCAACGCCGAACAAAATGATTCGACTGTAACCCAACCAGACCCATTCAACGCCACTCACACTCCCATCGTGAAATCATGCTCAATCCCCGGCGTCACGCTCGCCATGAACTTCAAAAACACAATGAGATACTGATCCACGCGAATCGCCACTTCTTCCTCCTGATTCTCCAACACCTCCCACTCCTCGCCCCCCTCCTTCTCCCTCGGCTCCCCACCAATGCTCGCCCCCGCCATCTGATCCACCAGTCCCTCCATCCCGCTGTCCCGCACGTCCTTCCCTTCCTTGAGCTTCGTCATCCGCAGCTTCAGCGCGGCGTCGGCGCGGTCGAGGAGGACTTTCATGACTGGGGCGTGCTTGCAGGGGTGCACGGAGGCCATCTTGACGCCGGCGTCGAAGAAGGGGAATTCTTCGAGCGTGACGGTCTTGTCTTTGTAGTCGCCGACGATATCTTCCATCATTAGGTGGGGAGGGAGGGGTTCTGAGGCGGAGAGGTATCCGGAGAGGTATAGGCGGGGGGTGCGGTAATAGGGGGTGTACATTATGTATAGGTTGTACTGTCGAGGGGGACTGCGTCGGTGTTAGATTTGTTAGATTCAGAAATGCCCCACGTGAGGGGATCGGAAGAAAACTTACGCCGCCGATTTCCCAGCCTTATTATCCCGGATGATCGCCTCCTCATCCGACTCCTCCTCCATATCCGGAATCTCATCCTCCTCCACATCCACCACCCCCTCCTTCCCACTTTCATCCACTGTCCTCACATCATTCACCCTCGCCACCATACTCTCCGCCATCCCCCCGGTCCTCAACCACCCATCATCCTCCCCCACCGCCCCCTCCTCTCCCCTCAACATATCCCTCACTAACGCCTCATCCACTCCGGCGTCGCCCGCGAAGTTCTCATCCAGCCGCCGATGGCACGGCACCCCGCGCGTCACCAGGTACTGCTTGTCCGGCGGCAGATGCGGGACGCCTTTCGTGGGTGGCGAGGCAGACGCCCACGACCACGAGGGAAACTTGTAGACGAGGAAGTCGCCGGCTTGGACGAATTCGTCGGGGGTGAGTTGGCCGGTGGCGCGGAAGTTGGAGACGTGAGAGACGGGGGCGTAGCGGTCGCGGAGGTCGGAGAAGGCGGAGCGGATGGATGAGGGGATCATTTTGAGGATGAAGAGGTTGGATAGAGGTATGAAGGGTGTAGAGGACGCTATGGAGCGTGAGGCGGCCAGGCGGGAGTCTCAGCCTAGCCCAGCTCAGCTATGGGGGGAGGTGTGGTCGATGGGATTTCGACGTGGTGTAGGGTCTTGGTAGGATTTCGGGGTGGAGATTCGATGGAAGATGTTTAGTTGATGCGGTTAGCTGGTGCTGAAAGGATGTTGATCACGAACAGGCAATAAAGGAAGTGTGTTTGTTGGAAATCAAAGTCAAAGACCCAGGCAGCATACAGCAAAGACGTGAAAGACGTGGAGTGTCATGGAGGGGTTCAGGTGCCAGGGCCGGCCGGGGTCGAGGGCCTGCAGCTGTGGCGGTGCAGTTTAGATCCTCCAATCAAAAACCTGGTCTGGATGGGTGCGGCTGGGTTTCCAGTAGAGTCACGTGCAAGGTGTAGTGTCTTACCTGGCTGAGTCATTTACAGAGTCATCTTTTATGGCTCATGCTGTGTCTCGAATCAACAGACAACAGTTGAGGCCTGATCTTGTCACGAGCGTAGCGAGTTACTTAATTGGGAAGAGTCACTTTTTGCTGTACGTATTCTGATTGGTCAGATAACCATAAATCACGTGATTGAAGTTCGAGAAATGCCACGTCTACTTGGCTACATACTTCCCTTTTTCCTTCCTATCCCCCATGGACCTTGCAGAGAGGTAGGAAGAGCATATGAAGATCGCTCCACCCTGCAGAACAAATACGATACAAAAAAGAAACCCCGCAACCAAGGCGCATGAAGCCAAAACGCCCACTAAACCTCTGCCGACCCAGCAAACTGTCCTCGAAACGGACAACTCCCAGGAACGCCAGAAAAGCTCGCAGAAAACCACCAAACGAACGAGTCAGACAGGAATTAAGGCCACCCCGAAACCGCACTCTATGGAAAAAGCCACACCGAAGCAAGCTTAAGAAACAAATTACCAAATAGCCAACCTAACCCAAAAAAACAAGACCATAAACAAGCAAAACAAACAGAGAGGAAAGGAAAATCAACATCGGGGCAAGTGCACCAAAAAGCCAGCTCATTAAGGCGACGATCAGGGACAATAACAGAAAACTACAAAAACAGAATAACCGGGCAGAACACCAAACTAAACATCAAAATACAAGGGGGAAAGCAGAACCGCCAAATCACCAGATCAAAGCCGGCGAGCCCCACATTCAGGTCACCCACAAACCCCTGGCAAAAACCCTCCAATAGAAGACCTGAGCAAAGCAAAGAAGATCCAGGGATGCCTGAAACAAACAGAACACAGAACCAGCAAAACACACACATGACCAAAAAATACACCAACCAGGGAAACGAACCACTAAGTAATCACACCAAACAACGACACCAAACGACCAGCATGTGATACTACTGCGAAGAAAACAAAAGCACTTAGATATGAGGCCAGATTCAAAAAAAGCAAACACCAGCCAACCCCCAACACCCTCTCGTCAAGCGACACCCCTGCCGGTACGCAGCTCTCCGTTACAAAAACGATACGAGTGCACGCCCCAATCCAACTAGGCACAACCACAAGGAAAGAAAGAAAACGAACCAGGAAAGACCAACGGCGCCCAGGGAAAAAGCGCACTACCCGTCCGCAAACACCAAAACAGCGCCAACAAACCCCACAAACCCAACCAAGAAGAAAGCCAAATCCACAACAACTTACAGCCACAATAGTACGACAACACAGAAGACCAGTGGCCTTCGCAAAGAGACCAGAACAAACATAACCATCGCAAGCTGCCCACAGCAACGCCAACACCACCAGAGACTGATACAAAAAAAGCACAACAGCCAGAAGCGTGACCATGCCATGAATGCCGCGCCAGAGGAAGGGCACCGAAGATAGGAAATCCAACAAAACGACCGCCCAGAACAAGACACAAACTCAGTCCCACAGACAACTTAGACCGCAACGCCAATCAGAACGCAAATTCCATAACACAAGACCGCAATGCGGCACGATCTGATTTCAAAGTATCTACATTAATAATCAAGTATTACTCATCAGCTGTCGCCACTTGTGCTATCCACTAGTATATAAAGACACTCTCTGTAACGGCGGTGGGTGGGGAGGAGGCTAGGAAAGGTTTAGAAAGCGAGTACCATGATTGTAACTCTTCCAGATCTGCAGCCGAGAGCAACAACGCCTCCATAGACCGCAACTTTGGCTAATCGATATTCAGGAGGAAGCCAAAGAATACGCTCGGTATTGTGACAAACCCATTCATCGCTAACAAAGATAACAGGTGGACCTTGTGGTTGGAGAGTAGGTGTATCGCCAGGGAGAGATAATGAAATAGGAAGTGACCCCCTGTTTGTTCGCAGAGAAGTGCTATCGTCAGAAAAAGAGAG